CATGACCATTCAACGACCTCACCCATTCTGCACCAACTGTCCCTGTCCCCAGGTGTGTGTGCGCGAGTCCCTTCCCCCTCCCCACCTCCCTACCCCAACAACTTTACTGGAAATGTATCCATCTTCTCTTTGCTCTGGGCCCCTGGGAGTGTAAAGTTGTAGCCTCCAGGTGAAGCTGCCCAAATGACATGCCTACAATATCTGGCCTTCCCTTTGCTCCTTTCCAATAATAACTATTATAGTTAATTACGATGCTGTCATTAAGTCTATTTGTTTCTATGCCAGCACCAATTTGTCTTTTATTACTTTATTTTTGTGTAGTCTGTCTTAATACATAAAAGAAAAATTCCCAGCCACCCAACAAATGCATGGGTATTTTTGCTCTTTCTTTGCAAGTTAACTTAGCTTTCCAAACACTTTTTTTTTCTAATAGCTGTATTAAGATATAATTCATATACTCTACAATCTGTTCATTTAAAATACATAGTTGGTTGGTTTTTAATATACTATTAATAGAGTTGTGCAACCACTACCCAAATTAATTTTAGAACATTTTTCTTATCTCCATAAGAAACCTCATACTCTTTGGCCACTATTCCCCCAACTCTTCTAGCTGCATAGCCATAGAGCCACTAATCTATTTCTGTCTGTATAGATTTGCATATTCTAGATGTTGCATACAAATAAAATAATATAATAATCTTTTGTGACTAGCTTCTTTAACTTAGCATAAGTTTTCAAGATTCATCCAATTTGGAGCATGCATCAATACTTGTTCTTTTTATGGCAGAATACTTCATTGTATGTTCATTGGTTGATGGACATTTTATGGTTATTTTGGCTATTATGAATTATAGTGCTGTGAGTATTTATATATGTTAGCATATGTTCTCGTTCTCTCTCTCTCTCTCTCTCTCTCTCTCTCTCTCACACACACACACACACACACACACACACACACATACACACACCTCCTTGCTGGAGTTTTTAAAGAGTATCTTGGTTTGGTAAATCTTCTAAGCTTCTACATGTCTGCAGATATTTTTATTTTATCCTCACTAAAATGGTCAAATTCTAAGTTTGACTTTTTTTTTCTTTAATATTATCCCTACACTGTCTTCTGGTTTCTAATGTTACTATTGAAAAGTCAGATGTCCATCTGATTCTTATTCCTTTGTAGGTCGTCTGTTCCTACCTCTTTGGCACTGAGTTATTTCCATCTGAATTTACTTTAATTCTAATAACTTAGCTTATCTCTATTTTCACCTATTTTCCTAGAATTTCTATAGTATTAATAATGCTATTTATATTTCTATCCTCCTTAAATTTTCTTCTATATTTTCTATCTTTTCATCTCTCTTCCCCTGAAAAATAGCATATTTGGGAATTCCTTAATCTGATCTTTCAACCTACTAATGTGTTCAAGTGTTATCAATTCTCATACCCAACCAATCTGTTAAATTTCAGATACTGATTTTGTTTGTTTGTTTGTTTGTTTGTTTTGCTATATCAGGGATTCCAGCTGGATGGATTTCTCTGGCACACTTTTTTACTTCATCCTTAAGTAGTGTGTTCTCTCTCTCTCTCTCTCTCTCTCTCTCTCACACACACACACACACACACACACAACTTTATTATAGCTTATTTTAAATTCTTGTTTGTCTGGCTCCCAAATTCTACAAGTCATTCAGTTTGTTGTCTGTTCTTTATGGCTTTTTTTTTTTAATTCAACCAATATTTATTATGAACTAGGTATTATTCCAGATACTTGAGACACAGCAGAGAACAAAACGAAGGTCCCCGCCCTCATGAAGTTTGCAGTCTAGTGTTTATGACATTTTGCCTGAATGCTGGCCCTGACCCTGGGCAAATCTCTCCTCAGCTATCCAATGCAGGAAGAAGCAGGCCTGGCCCGGACATAGATAACATGTCTGATGTACTATAGATACCAAACAGATACCACCTCCAACCCACTACCCAGAGAGTAGCTCAGGCTGGAAGTTGACTTTTAATAATAAAATACAGGTGGAGGGCAGAGGGAGTGCAGCAGGTGGGGTGGGGTGCTGCTGCACCAGGGTCTGCACTGGCTACACAAACTGCTACTGCTGCTTCTTGGTGCTGCCTGGCTGGCAAGGTCCTTGGCCTCTGTAGCTGCCAGCTCCGTCTCCTTTGCCTTCTTCTTGGCTTCCTTGGCTGTCTCAACAAGGGTTTTTTGTGGTTTTTTTTTTTTTTTTTTTTTTTGAAGAGGCCTCACCTTGCAGCTTGGCCAAGGTGTATTCAAAATCCTTCACTGACTTGATCACATTGCTTTTGAACCGACCAAATTCCTGGACAGCTCTGGAGATCCCAAATAAGCTGGAGGAGACCCGAGCTTCCTGGTGGATTTTGGTCCAGCGCTGTTAACAGTCAACACATCGTTTCTCCACCACCATCCACCAGACATAGTTGATGTTCCAATGAAGATGGTCATGGTCTGGTTCTGTGGGTCCACAATAGAAATCTCCAGGATGTACACCGAATGAGCAACATTGGCAGGAAATAGTCACTCGGCCCAGGGGGCATCCTGTTGGTCTCGGTCATGAGTCTCCAGGACAGGAGCTTCTGGTCAGAGGTCACCTCCTGAAGCACTATGTCGTTTGTCAAAACATGTGCTATAGGGATTCGGGTACCGCTGCCAGAAGGCAGCGAACACTTGGTCCTGAGAACTCCGGAACAGGCTGTGGCCGGGTAGGGTCAGCACCCGAGCAGCATCAGGGGTGCAGACCCCGGGGGCCCGCGGAGGCCAGGCACCAGTCACCGCCCCGCTACACCCCACTAGCAGCTGCTACCATGAGAAGTTGCCCCCCTTTATAGCTTTTGTGTACTCTGAGTTGTCTAATACTTTCCCCCTATGATTATTCACTGCCGTATCTCTTCAAGTTTTCGTTGCCATGAAATGACTAGTAAATGGCATTTTTATTCAAATGTGTTTTATATAAAACAAACAAGACTTAAAATCATCTAAATTTAACAAGATATTTTAATGATTCTTGAAATTTTTTATTAAGAATAAAATGTTTTTCCTCAGAAACTATTCAACTCTGATTATTTGATTTATTTATAATTCTATTGTGAAATTTTTCACACAGAAGAGGAGAAAATAACTTTTAAGCAAATCCATGTTGCTGCTCTTCACCAGGCCTATTATTATTAGGAAGGTGCTAATTTGCAAGCTTTGTTACTAAGTGGACATCAATTATCTGGATCTGAGGCCGTGGAGATGGGAGTCCTTTCTTCTGCCACCCTGAGGAAGGGCAGTTGGCTTTTCATTAAACCAGGCCTGAGCTCCACAGCTTTCCTATGTGGTGGTCATCCCCAGAGGCATCTCTGAAGCCTTGTATATGCTTAGCCAGCCATGTTTAATTCATATAAAAGTATTCATGTTCAAGAGGTAAATTATAGGACCATAGTTGAGCTATGTACATTTTACTTATTAATCAAGCTTTTAATAAGCTATTGTGGGTCAGCAGTTGATGGCATATACTAGTAAGACAGTGGGGGCAAGAAACAACACAGCATTGCTATATTGTACCTTCCACCTCAGCTTTTTTCCAGGTCATCCCTTTCTCTGGAACTGACCCTTTGAACTCCCTCCCTTTACTTCCATTTTCTTCACCAGGTCTTTTATCTTCCTGACCAGATTCTGTCATAAACATGACTAATTTATCACACATTCTTTGCCTGCCAAGCCCTGGATATGCCCTCAGAATCCTTTTTAGCTTGTAACACTTCAGGGAGTTTGCCAGTAGAGACAATACCTAGTTGTCATTTTTGTTCTGTCTCTTATTCCAATCAGACTAAGACATTAACATATTCAGGCTATATTCACTTTGAAGGCTGAAGAGGGGTAAAGGAAAAATAACAAGTAAAATTGTTTCCCAGTATCCAAGAGACACTTTCTTTTAAAGCCATTTATGTCTCTCCAACTCTTGTTTCTATCTGTGTTGTTTCTGCTGCTTTCTACCTAATTAGCTCAAAGTAGGAAATAAACACACTTGTATTGAGCAATACAAACTAGATTTTAATTCATTTGTGAAAAGGGCATCCTCTTCTTTCCAAATATTTTCACCTCTTCAGTCACTTCTGAGGTAATTTCTCATTTTTCGTATAATGTACATTTTTTCCTATCCTTGTACTTAGATTTGTTTTGGTGAAAATTAGGTACCAGGAACTAAGCAAAGGTCTTTTATTGATAAAAATAACAGAGGAATTTGAGAAAAGACAACATAGAGAAGGAAATGCTGGTAGGGCAAACAAGCATTTATTTTTATTCCTGAATTAATATGAGGTGGATATTTTTTAAATATTAATAAAAAAGATAGAAGAAAGTGGAGCATTCCTAAGTGAGCCAACTATCTGGCCATTATTCTATTGTGTGCCTAAACTATATTGTTGTACTTGTTCTTCACACCACTCTGTTCAGTATAGGTATTGGCCTCACTTATAAAAACAAGGAGAGTAAAAAAGGTAAATAATTTGCCCAAAGATATACAGCTAGTGAGTGGTAGAGTTAGGATTCCACCCCCATCTCTGGGTACAAATATTTTTGTTCTTTCCCACCTAACCATTTAAGACATTTTACTCTTACAGGATTTTACCTTTTTCCATATGGACTTTATATTACAGCCTTTTTAATATGGACAGTGATTACGTGCATGCATACATTTAAAGTTTTATAAGTTATTTGGGCCTCTGGCACTGTGGCTAAAATGATAAGATTAAAATATAATCATTACTATTTGAAACATATAGTCTCTCTCCTGATAAGGAACATTTGCCTCATCCAGGAATTACAGTATTTCTAGAAAGATTCCCAAAATCTGTTTTGGTTGAAGATACTTGAAATAATAGTAGTAGACACTGACTACTGGTGTCTTTGTTTTAACCTTCTATTGTATGAGAATGCAGAATGCACAGTTCAGCGATTAAAACATTTGCTATCTTCTTTTCTTTTTCAGAAGATGAATAATCTTTCATTTAGTGAGCTATGTTGCCTCTTCTGCTGTCCACCTTGTCCAGGGAAAATTGCTTCAAAATTAGCATTTTTGCCACCTGATCCAACTTACACACTAATGTGTGATGAAAGTGGAAGCCACTGGACTTTACACCTATCAGAACGAGCTGACTGGCAGTACTCTTCTAGAGAAAAAGATGCTATGGAGTGTTTCATGACTAGAACCAGTAAAGGCAACAGAATTGCCTGCATGTTTGTGCGTTGCTCACCCAATGCCAAATACACCTTACTCTTCTCACATGGAAATGCTGTTGATCTTGGTCAGATGAGCAGCTTTTACATAGGATTGGGATCACGGATTAACTGTGATATATTCTCATATGATTATTCTGGATATGGTGCAAGTTCTGGGAAACCATCGGAGAAGAACCTCTATGCAGACATAGAAGCTGCTTGGCTTGCTCTTAGGACAAGGTAAATGGTGAACGGGAATTATTTTCCATACTTTGGAAAATTGTCTTGTATTAGAATAGAATAAAGACTTTTTATAACACATTTTAAAGTGCTAAATAGAAACTATATTTACCATTATATACCTATGAAGAGTTAAAATTAGATTGTAGTTTAACTTATTAAAGGGTAATATAAAAAATGTATTTTCAAAATTGCAGCATTTCACGAGATTGAGAGAAAATGTGATTTAGCTAATTACTCATTGACTTGACCTGTCATTAACAGTGTAAGAGGATGCATTTTTTGTCAGAATCCTTAGCCATGGTTTGCATTATTTTATATAATTATTTCCTAGAAGATGTGGCTGAAAAATCTCTTAATGGAACTATTTTTAAAGTTTTCATTTTATAAAACAGATTTTACTTTCATTCTGGACACAAAATTTGGAGAGGCTCTCAAGTGAAGAAAAGTTAATGCTATGATAAGTCACTTACATAATTTCTGTTACTGTGTCAGTTATTTTTTGTTTATAACTACATTTTTTTTGGAAACTAGAAATTGTGTTAGTCTTATCTAGTCACCAGGATATTTAGAAATCTTTTTTAAAAAATAACACAATTTTTATTTTATTTATTTATTTATTTTAAAAAATATATTTTATTGATTTTTCATAGAGAGGAAGAGAGAGGGACAGAGAGTTAGAAACGTCGATGAGAGAGAATCATCGACCAGCTGCCTCTTGCACACCCCCTACTGGGGATGTGCCCGCAACCAAGGTACATGCCCTTGGCTGGAATCGAACCCAGGACCTTTCAGTCCACAGACCGATGCTCTACCACTGAGCCAAACCAGTGCCGGCAAAATAACACAATTTTTAAAACATTGGTGTATTATCTCATCATTTAGCATACAGTAAGTAGATATCTTAGTATAAGTTATTCTTCCTATTAGACATTGATAAGCTGCCTGACTTCCACGGTATTTCAGTTAGAAGGTATGGACATAAAGAAAAAGATCATATATCATAACCCATGAACACAGATCAACAGTGTGGTGATGGCCAGAGGGAAGGAGCTGGTGGGGACTGGGTAGAGGTAGGCAAGGACAGTAGGGAGGAGGAGGTTAAAGGGACATCTGTAATAGTATTGATAATCAAAATTAAATTTTAAAGAAAGAACTAGAGAGATATGAAAGAATATAAAGAAAAAGAAAACTTAATGTTTCTAATTTAATGTTTAAATATGAATGATTTCCATTAGTTAAGAGCCACTTCAATTTTGTTAGTAGGCATAGCCTGTTTTGGAAAATGTCTTTAGAACCATTTACCCCTCCAAGATATGTAATAAAACTCAACTCTCATAGCAAAGTTCTATATAAAGGGGATTCTTAAATCAGTTGAAATGATATGAAAATGTATTTGATGAATAAGAAAAAAATAGATGGTAAGGAATATAAGTAGCAAGAAAGGAGTTCAGGGTTGGTTAGAAGAACAAAATGTTAACAACCACCTATAATGACAAAATTGGTTTTTAGAGAGAGTGTAAGGGAGAAGAGAGAAATGTTAATGTGAGGGCAACATCGATCAGCTGCCTCTGTATGTCCCCCACTAGGGATTGAGTGCCCTGTCTGGGAATTGAACAAATAACCTCTACTGCACAGGATGATGCCCAACCAATTGAACCACACTGGCCAGAGCAGTAATATGTATTCTTTAATAACAGATTTATTGAGATATAATTTGTATACCATAATTCACTATTTTAAAGGGTAACTCCAGTGGACTAGTATGTTTCTTAGCAACTAGTATGTTGCTAAGTTAGAGCAAACAGCCTTTATTGTTAGTGCTTCTTAAGTAATCAGAAAGGGAAAAGTAAATAATGAACTTAAGTGGTTATTACTTGAATGGTCTGGTCTTCTTTTTAAGATAATTGATAATAACCCTAAGTTTCTGAACTTCTGATCTATCAAGAGAAGATAAGGGACTAATATTCACTATGGGTCCTTCATCTACAAATTTTGCCATCATTATCTTTGTTTTGTAATAGAAAAAACACTTGACCTGGAAGTCAGGGTTCCTGTGTTCAAATTATAGGTCTGTCACTAACTTACTCTGACTCAGTAAGCAGCTGAACCAGAGTAGATAGTCTCTAAAGTCTTTTCTAACTTTTATTCTGAAATTCTTAGAGTCCTGATGTGACATTGGCAGCTGCCTCTGCTGCTCTGGAACCTTGCCCATCACTAAACTTTAACCTAAAACCCATAGTTGCCACCAACAATGCTGCTACTCGGCTAACAGCAGCTGTGCAGCCTTAGGAGTTATGCTGATACTGCAAATGTTCATTTTCCCAATTTTCATTCCTATAAAGTATTCACAGCCAGGTCTATTGTAAAGAAAACTTTTCTGAGTTTACTTACATTTAGAATCAATCTGGAGTAGATGGAACCCAAACCCTGGAAATATCCAAATGCTTAAGTGTAGGACTGATTGGAAGAAACTATGGAAGGGGATGTCATTAGCCGGATAGTTCAAATAGGTGTGTGCTCCTGGGAAGGGCCATAGGGAGCATACAGGGCTTGTCTTGTTCTTTCCTGGTGAATGCTCAGACAATCTGGAAAGTTCTAGTACCTTTTCAAAAGATTAGAAGCTGTTGATCAAATGGCCCTTAGCAGCAGAAGTGGTTACTGAATGGGAAAGGCATATTTGATGTCACTTAACCCTTACCCCCACATTCATTAGTTCCTGTAGCATCTCACTTGCAGTTGCATTAGTTTATAGTTGGGACAGTTATACTGAAGACAGGTAATAGTGCCTGGAACATAGTGTGTGCCCAATATTACTGAGTTCAGTGAGTTTACGTATTTAAATCCAACCCCCTTTTAAAGGGAGTAAAGCAATAATCTAAAGGTTTTAGCATGAAGTTTATTCTTAATTAACTGAATTGTATGTCATTGGAATTTTCATTTGTCTTATCTTTTAAATCACTAATCCATTTCTATGGTAAGTAATGGCATATTTCAACAAATATAGTAATTTGCTCTTGGCTAAAATAATGTGTACATTCAACTGTATGTCACCAATATGATCAACTTCAGAAAAGGAAATGATCTACTTTTGATGTCTAGAGAAATAATGTTTCTTACATTTAATGGAAAATAAATACTATCTATTAAATATTAGTAATATGTTTCAAATTTAGTCAATAGTATGTTGAATTATATAAATGGTTTAATAAATTAAATTTTAAGATTAAAATTTAAAAAAACCTCAGCAATTTTTCCAAAAGATGAAATTGAAAAATGAAATAAGCTAAGAAAATAGATTTTACTATAGCATTAAATATAATAGTGATGACTAAGAAACTTAAAGTTTAGCTATGTATTTGTTGGCATTGTCTAAGTCATTTGGTTACAAAGTTAAGTTGTTAGGGATGATTGAACATTTCCATACCAGTCCAACTTTTTTCCCCCCCAATTTCTGAACTTTGTAGATATGGCATTCGCCCTGAAAATGTGATTATATATGGCCAAAGTATAGGGACAGTACCATCTGTGGATCTTGCTGCTCGGTACGAGAGTGCTGCTGTTATTCTTCATTCTCCTTTGACCTCAGGAATGCGAGTTGCTTTTCCTGATACCAAGAAAACCTACTGTTTTGATGCATTCCCAAAGTAAGTATCAATATTCAAAATACTTGAATTCAAAGAAACTTTTAAGGGGAATTTTATTCCATCACTTAAGATATTCATTATACAAATCACTCATCCATGAGCTACTATTTTTCATATCTTACAGAATTTGTGAAAAATTAACTTAAGCAGGTAGTAATAGACACCAGACAGGAAACTGAAATGTTTGAGCAGTAGTGATCCAGGTGTAAAGTACTGAGGGTCTCTTAACAAGACAATGGCATTAGTATTAGAGACAAAATGATTTTGAGAACTAAATGTCAGGCAGGATATAGGAGAGGACAGCACTAACTAAGTAAAGAACTTGAACATAATTCTGTGGGTGGTGGTACCATTCATTGAGACACAATATTGGAGGAAAGGAAGAAGTAGAGGGAAAATGAGACACATGTCATAAAAATGAGTGAATGCTATGTATTGGTATCTGATTCACAAAAGTAGTGAACTGCAAAAGAAATTGACTCTTAAATTAATTAGGGTAAGTATTGCCTCCACAAAGTCTACAAACATAAGGTGTTTAACAAACCTGAAAGGGTTACTTCTACTGCTTCTTGAGACAAGATGGTAGTTCCCACCAATTCAAGAAGTGAGAAGCTGGCAAATTAGTTCTTTTATTTTTATTTATTTTTTTATTGATTTCAGAGAGGAAGGGAGAGAGAGAGGGAAACACACACACACACACACACACACACACACACACACAAGTGGTAAGAATCATTGATAGGCTGCCTCTCCTTCATGGCCCCACTGGGGATCAAGCCTGCAACCTGGGCATGTTACCCTTGACCGGAATCGAAACTGGGACCCTTCAGTCTGCAGGCCGACACTCTATCCACTGAGCCAAGCTGGCTAGGGCAGTGGTCGACAAACCACAACTCGCGAGCCACATGCGGCTCTTTGGCCCTTGAGTGTGGCCCTTCCACAAAATACCACATGCAGGCACGAACGTACAGGGCAATTGGAACTTTGTGGCCCATGCGCAGAAGTCGTTTTCAGCCTGGGTGAGTCTATTTTGAAGTGGCATTAGAAAACTCAAAGGGCCAAAGAGCCGCATGTGGCTCACGAGCCTTAGTTTGCCGACCACTGGGCTATGGCATCACTTGATTCTTTATAAGAACATCAACGGTCTTTAAAAAAAAAAATTTTTTTTTCATCATTAGCAAGTCTGGAGTCACTTTTGAAGGGATGCTTATGGTACATGTGATCTTATCACCAGAACAAACTATTGGAGAGAAATTTGATTTTTATTTTCTGTTTGTTTTTGTTTTAGATATTGGTAGGTTGGAAGGTATATGCATTGCATTGCTTCTGTTTAGCTGAATCATAGTGATGATAGGAAGGTATTTGAGGTAATGCTGTTGCCATAAAACGTATATCTCTTGTCTACTTCCCTCTTTCATTATTGCATCAACAGAGAGGACAGCACTAATAGTTAACTGTCAGAAAAAGACCTTTAATATTAAATATCTGATAGCAAATAATATACCCAAACATTCTTTCCTTAATCAAATTCTGCCTTGAATAATTTCATTGATAATGTTTTTACTTTTTATGATTCTATCCTCATTTTATGATTACAGTTCCCCCATGTCTCCTTCCCTCTCCCTCTCTCTCTCTGGATTTTTTAAGGGTTTTTTTTTTTTTTTTAAGTGTGTAATCTCTGTAATTTATGTCTCCTTTGCATTGCCTTTTAAATTCTGATCTCTGTCTTATGTTAGTATAATCCTCTGATGTTTGATAATTCTTGGTTGTCTGCTCATAGTAAGGCAGAGGAACTAAAGTGCTGATCTGAATCGGGTAATTAAAACTTATTGACTGTGAGTTTCACTGTAGAGTGATCTGGTCAAGCCAATTAATCGGGATCCCCACCTGAACCCCCATACCAATATTTATATATTTTTCCTTTTAAAGTGGGTATAGTCTCCAAAGAAGATTTTCTAAATCTCCCCCTTGGTGGATGAAGTCCTGGATGCCAGTTCTGGAAGCCCAGTAGGGAGAAAGGGTTCACAGCAGCCAGTATGTATATGCTCGCTTGGCCTCTGATACCTCTGCCCTAAACTGTGTCTGGCAATCCCTTAGTCTATAAACCCCACAGTTTTGGGTGGAGTGCAGTTACCCTGCTGCAAAAAGTAGGGGAAAGATGCTGACAGAGTAGGACCTAAATTATTTCTTTGAACAAATGTAAATATTTCAATTACCCACCTTCATCCCCCTGTCATTTCCTAGTTTTCTCCTGTATTCCATGGTATAAAATGGGTTGGTTCTTAACTTTACCTTCTATCCTCTTAAAAATTGTTTTCTCCTATCTACTATTCAACTCCAAAAATTTTTATGTTTAATTATATTTGCTCTATTTTTGTGAGTTAATAACGTAAAACAAAAATCCTGCCATATATGAGTGCAGAAAGGTATGAAATTAGCACTTAATGAAATGGTCCTTAGTTTCCTTGCAATCTTAGGTTTTCTGTGCAAGACATTAACCCTGCTGTAGGGTTTGAATCATATTTTAAATTTCTTCTGGATAGATTCTGGTTTTTGAATTATCTCTCTGATACAGCACAAGAAAGTTTGTTTTACATTCCTTTTCATAATTAATTCATTGACTTCCCTTCCTCCTTTTTCTCTACAGTATTGACAAAATCTCTAAAATAACCTCTCCAGTATTAATAATTCATGGGACTGAAGATGAAGTCATTGACTTTTCACATGGCCTTGCATTGTTTGAGCGTTGCCAAAGACCTGTGGAGCCTCTGTGGGTTGAAGGGGCAGGTCACAATGATGTGGAACTTTATGGACAGTACCTTGAAAGGTTGAAACAGTTTGTGTCACAGGAATTGGTAAATTTGTAAAATATTCTGTAAATTTGCATACCGGGTTTTCTTTTGCTGAACTGCACTCTTTGGTAAAGAACATAAAACCTGAAGGTTTTGTTTGCAAATCATGTCAGTTGCCTTCATAAATGTACAGGTAATGATTTGTTAACAGACTTAATGAAGGTTTTAATTACCAGAACTATAACTGGAAATAACAGTATCATGCAGTCAGGCTGTGTAATTTATATTTTTTTCTGTGAATTTTTTTTAACATCAAGATATAAGTACTGTATGAAATTTTAATTCTATGAAATCAAATGCTGTAAAAGTATTGCCAAATGCTTTTGCATATGAGAAACAAATTTATAAATATTTTTAAAACATCTCAATGTACCAAATCTTATCCTGGTATACAAATGTAATATTCTTTCAATAAAAAGCTGTGTATCTGAAACAATTCAAGTACTAAAAAAAACCACAAATTCACTAGAGATGACCTAAACCTTGTTGTACCGGAATAGAGGTGTAAACAGTTACGCTATTGTAAAGTACATTGGATTTTCTGTATTCCCTGATTATTATACATTTTCTCCTCTAAAAAATAAAAAAATAATAATGATTTAAGTCTTAATTTTTATGCCATCTGTTAATTTACCAACTAGTTACCTTGTAAATGAGAAATCATGATAGCACTGAATTTTAACTAGTTTTTGATTTATAAGTTTGGTACTGTGAGGCAACTACTTAAAATTTTTATTTTAGTTATTTAAAAGGCATTTAGAGCTTCAAGAATGACTTTTGTATGCAATGTTGTTTTAAATTTTGCAGATTCTTCATTATAAGAAAACCTGAAAGTCTATTGGATGTTCTTCAAGACCACAGGCTGGCTTTGGTCCCTTTTCACTTTGGCTATTTTTAACAATAGGATTTATTGGTTTGGATTATTATCTAAGAATTTCATGGATTCACTCCTGATGTAGGAGATCAGAAGACATTTAATTCATAACTTTTATATTAATTAATGTAGTAAAAAATAAGACTCACAAACAAAAACTAAGTTGCCTTTCCTTGAATGAATCATTCCTGAATTTAAAAAATGAAAGAAAAATAAAAAATAAATTAATGGTATGTAGTCTACTTGTAAATGAATGATATTGAAATAATACACACTGTGGATATTTTTAAGGCCTTATGTAGTTCTAATTGTTCTGCTTGTTCTACGGTTATGTCTAAGACTATAGTATATGATTCTTTCAAAGTATATCAAGTATTGTGAATGCTTTGGATCAGATGTGTCAAATTAACAGTAAAAAACAAATATACCACTCAGCTGTGCTTGTTTTTCTTTTTCCATGTTCTCTACCTCCTATAAAGGGTGAAGAAAAGTTACTGTTCATCTTAATAGTTCTATAGTTTTCTAAATTTTATTCTTTCCTTGGGTGAGGTTTTTCTTTCTCAAGATTGTCTTGGAGCTTATACAATTCCTTCTTTGTACAACATACACCCAAGTTTAGCTGAGTGTTTTCTTTGGTTAATTCCGTATTCATGCAGTGAATATTTATTGCCTGTTTAAAGCTTGCAAAACTTTTTGCCTGATAAAGATAGACATTGGTCATGTCCTCATAGACTTCACAGTATAGCTGAGGCGACATACCTCATTACACAAGTACTACTATTTGGATAAAGGCTGAAGACGATTAGTAGGGTATTATAATAGGTAAAAGGTACTCTTGGAAGGGGAAGGTATAGAGGACAAGGGAGAGTCCCATGAAGTAGTTTTTCCACTGAGCTTTAAAAAATGACTAAACCTATGTGGTCCAGGTGAAACATTACTGGCTGAAAGGAATAGTATGTGGAAGCCTGGAAGAAGAATGATGTATTTGAAATTAAGATTGGCCAGAGGTCAAATGGAAAGGATGGCATGAGGCTGGCAAGCTAGTTAGGGGCACCATCATACATAGTATCGTGGACCCTGATTACTGTCCTTGAAACAATAGCCATTGATAGGAATATGAACTACATTTGTCAAAAGTTCGCAGACAGAACCTAGAGATTATAGCTTAACTAGAAATAATATGGAAGCCAACTTCAGAAACTGATTTATTCTTTTTGACAGAGTAGAACAAAGTGAAAATGGCAGATTAGAGCTGAGTATGAAAAATAATTATGGGCCTGACCAGCATGGCTCAATAGTTGAGAGTCGACCTGAGAATTAAGAGATCAGGGTTCAATTCCAGGTCAGGGCGCACACATCCCCAGTGTGGGACATGCAGGAGATAGCCAATTAATGATTCTCATCATTGAGGTTTCTCTTTCTCCCTCTTCCTCTCTGAAATAAAATATATTTTTTTAAAAAAGAAAAGAGCCAAAACCGGTTTGGCTCAGTGGATAGAGCATAGGCTTGGGGTCTGAAGGGACCCGTTTCGATTTCGGTCAAGGGCATGTACCTTGGTTGCGGGCATATCCCCAGTAGGGTGTATGCAAGAGGCAGCTGATGGATGACTCTCTCTCATTGATGTTTCTAAGTCTCTATCTCTCTCCCTTCCTCTCTGTACAAAATCAATAAAATATATTAAAAAAGAAAAGCAACCCTATTTGAAAAAAGGAAGTAAAGCATAGTTTTTGAATGTCAATGAGCTAAAAGCTACTGAACTGTTTTTTTTGTTTTGTTTTGTTTTGTTTTCATTAGAGCCAGATAAGACTTAAAATTATTTTATACCCTCTATTTCCTCCTGTAGGCCATGTACATTAGAAAAGTGGAAGAAATGCAGTTCTAAATCTGATATTTTGTATCTAGTGATAAAATGTAAATTTCAGCTATTGTACTAAATAAATCTAGAGTTATTATTTCTAAAATTACTGTGTAAGGCAGCTAATTAAAAAGGTAAGGATAGCTGGTAGTTGAAAAATTTTAAATGTACCTGACAACATGGTGGATTTATGGACTTTAAATCAAAACTTCTAATTAGACTTTTACATTATAAACCTTTTCAGGTGATACTTATAAATATTTGTATTTAAATACTTAATTTCAAATTATGTAAATACAAGTTTAAAACTTTGGTTAAGTCAGACCATCTATATTCACCAAAGTTCAAGGTTTTGGTGTATGGTGTTTTTTCCTGGTATATTCCAGTTTGTCTTTGAGACTGGAAGTCTAGGCTCCAAATCTCCTACTTCCACCCCTACAAAAAGAATGGGCAGGTGGGATGGACACAGAAAATACTTACATATCCTTGAATATATATATAATGCTGTCAAGAATGATAATGAAGTTTGCTAATATCCAATGTAATACCAAATACAAAAATACGGGTAAGTGGTTATATCTCCATAAAATAAAATGTGAATGCCTATGGTATAAAACCAGAAGGGAATAAATACAATCAAGTTTTTTGTCAGTGATAGTGGGGAAGGGCATGTAATAAGAATAGAGCCACAGTTGTTTAATAATTCACCTTTAGATAATTATTCTTACCCTGGAAAACAAGGATGAAACAGTTTTAAAAGATAAGATGCCTCGATTCATCCATTGCTCAAAAAAAAGTATATATATTGAGAACAGACCAAGGACAGGACACGCTTTGATTTGGTTGCTGTGTCCGGACCCTCCAGGAGTTTGCCTTGGGAACACTGACCATTCTCCGGTCCCAGGAACAGGCTGAATTGTTTGTAACATTATAGATTAGCCATCTTGTTATCAGACTTTGATATACAGAATCAGAATTCTGAATACATTTTTTTTCAATTACAGTTCACCACTATTCTAAGAATTAATTATTCAAATTTAATTTGTTAGAGGTTTTATGTTTAACTTTTAAATATTAATAAATTACCAGAAAATACTAACAAGATTTCATCTCTTATGGAGGATTTTAAAATGTAAACCCTTCTATTTCTTAATGTATTTCTTTATAAGAAATAAACAAAAATGATCCACAATAAACTCTATCTTGATCAAGTTTTTATTATAATGTATTTTACTTTATTTTCTTCATATTTTAAAAATACAACCTATAAGAAATTATACCTTGACCAAATTCTTATAATCTGTCTTTTATTATAATGTGTTGATCACAGGGTCACTACTTTGCTTTATCCAAGAACCAAAGGATTAAGAAGGAGGAATTTTTTTAAATCAGCAGTTCAACCCAGAGGGACAATCCCATTAAAAAGATTGTCCAGGTTGAGTTACCATTCATTGAACTACCCTGAAACACAAGCTAATAAATACAAAATCTTCTCCCAACTGTCCTGTAGTTCTCACAGTACTTCTCAGTGGTCACTCCGATTCCCTGTCAAGGAACAGACAAGAAGGAACCAATGTAATAAGTGAAACAATGAATTGATGTGTTTTTCTCTTCCCTCTCTCTGAAATCAATAAAAATAATTAAACAAACTCGTTTTGCCAGAACTTGGAGAAAGGGGAAGGAGGCACACTTTGATTGAAACTACTCCATGAAGAAAATATTTCTTCTCCCTAATATGTGACAAAATGCATAAGTTAACAAATTTAATTTGATTTCAACTTCATCTGTACATGGTTTGTATTTCCCAATCCCATTAAGTGGTTTACCTGTTTGTGTTTAATGAGGTTTTAAATTCTGTCTTAGTTTGTTATAGTTCTGAGAAAGACATTTATAGGTTGAACAATTCAGCTAATTACATCCCCTCCCATAGTTTCTTCCAATCAGTCCTAAACTCAAGCATTTGGGTATTTCCAGATTTTGGGTTCCATCTACTCTGGACTGACTAAAGGTTCTCCATTACCCACACTTCTTAAATTTTCCTACTTCCATGCCTGCCCCATCATAAAAGCTCTGCTAATTCCCAAAATAAGAAAAACTGGAAGTCGGAATAATAAACTCAATATAAGGAAAGAAGTATATTTAAATGTATGAGAAACCTTCATGGAGGAGATAAAATTTGTTCATCCTTAAGTGTTCAATCCTATCTCATAAAAGAGTAATATGCAAATTGACCATCACTGCAACACAAGATGGCTGCCACAAGATGTGGGTGATCAGGCCTGCAGGAGAGGGCAGTTAGGGGTGACCAGGCTGTTAGCATCAATCAGGCTGTCAGGGAAATGGTTAGGGGGTGATCAGGCTGGCAGGCAGAAGCAGGGGCAATCAGAAAGGCAAGCAGTTGGGAGCCAGCAGTCCTGGATTGTGAGAGGGATTCCAGATTGGAGAGAGTGCATGCTGGGCTGGGGGACACACATCCCCATGCACAAATTTTGTGCACCTGGCCTCATAATATAATTGACCAAGTTACTTGTTATAGTTGGTTTTTCCATCTGCACAATGCTGCTGACATCAAAGGATATATGATAATCCTATGAGATGGTATATGTGAAAGAGCACTTAAAATTGCAATGCTATATTCAATTCTAATCATTGTTATTATACAAAAAAAATGAGCATGATAACTTTGTATAAAATATTCTATTCATGATTCCAATAAGATGTTGTTGCTTTACTTACATTCCCTCACTACTGCTACTTGAGTACACACAGGCCCAATTCTTAAAATTCTAAAAAACAAACAATTGTCTTACTAGCTGTGTGACTTTATGCAGTCCTGTCTAAACCTCAGTGTCCTCATCTATAAGTGGTTGCAGCATGACACCTGTTCAGCCTACTTTACTGGGTCTTCTAAAAAAATCTACATATATAAAACCATAATATGCAAATAGACCAAACGGCTGATCAACTGGTCACTATGATGTGCACTGACCACCATTGGGTGTGCACAGGCATTGGCCATGGAAAGGTGGTGGAGCAGGTGAGCAGGGATGCCTGACCAGGCAGGGTGCCGATTGCTGTCATTGGGTTGCTGTCTCTAGTGGT